GAACGACAATTTATTTAGTGTTGCAAGTATTAAGTTTTACAGTAACACAACAAATTAACTTTCGTATATTATTACTATTGCTTTTTCGGAAACGTCACCGAGTCAAATAAATTCTAAATAAGATTATATAAATATGACGTTATTTGTTTATGTTTGTATTTAGTTTTACAGTTTGTTACATTTCATGTAATAGTTATAGATTTGTGATTGCTTAGTATAAGCGATTTGCGTCTCTGGCTGTGAGCATTAAGCTTTTATTATGTCTGGAATTGTACTAAAAAACTTTTTCTAGTTTTGAAATCGAAGATTCAATAAAAAGCAAGTTATTCATTATTTAACGATCATTGTTTAAACTCATTTAACGTGTTTGTTATTTTATTATTACATGAGATATTTTGACTGTTTATTTTAAAATTACAGGAATATGTCGCATAGTTCAGTCAATATTCCGGACAGTTTGAAACCGGACTAATGGAGAAATTAAATAAATTAGAACTGAACAAACAAAGACAGAAAAAACTCATCGAAGAAGTATTACGTATTCTTTAGAAAATATTAAATTAGATAATACACTATATATTTGCAGATAAAACAAATCTAGTGTCGTCTCATAATAATTGAGAATTTGTTTTATAAAATTTTAACTTAAATCAAGTAAAACATTAAGTCAATAAATGGTTACTAAAAATAACAGTCTCTTTTTCTCGATAGAAATTAAGACTTATCAAATTGTATACATTGTAGAGCAGCGTTTTGCAACCTATGGGTCGCTTTAAAATGTTAATAACTCCGGAAATGACAGCTATCACCTTAAATCAAAGCGAGGAACATGAAATATTCTTAGTTCTCATCGGTAATTTCTATATATTAGAAAATTGCATGGTACAACTGCAAATGGAAGGGCAAAAACGTTGAGAAACGTTGTAATAACCAATTATAAGCAAACAATTTAAATATTGAAATACTTAATAGATTCAAAATCTTAATAAATAAACATTAAGGAGTTTATTAAAATGTACTAAATACAATCAAAGAAATGTGTGTAATTATGTAGACTCTAGAACTTAAATTTTGGATGTACAAAATAAAATTTAATCAATGTTTTATCAAGAAGTCAATAATCGCATCAACTAATTTACTTATTTAATATAAATAATCATAGATACACTAGTAAAAAAAAGCATAAAGTGTAACATGAAGTTAAATCAAAATTGAATAGAAAACTATTGTAATTCGTTTGTTGAATACATATTTTTTTTATGTCTAATTATGCAATTGTATTTAAATCATTTAAGAGTTAATTGATGTTTGGAGTTATGTGTATTCCAAAACATTATTCACCAGTGATTAATAGCGTTTCGCCGATTGTCTAAGGTCTGTTTTATAATTGATACTCTTCGAACCCAAGCACGTATCTTTGAAACAACTTTCATATTTTAATGTCATCTCATTGCAGATTCTTGCATATGCTGATTTTTTTGCAAAATTTTACTTAGTTGGATAATAAATCTACTCCTAAGTTCATACAAAATGATTTAGATAGTCAAAGTGTAAATATTATTTCAAAAGTAATTCTGTAATTTCATAACAATTTTTCAATTTTTTAGTATTTTCATAACATTCAACGTTTGGAATGTTAAAAAATATTTCTATAGAAATAAAATGTATATTTACTAAAAATAAATAGAAAATAGAATTGATTGTTTAACGGAAAAATAAAACGAACATTTATTTATAAATAATAATTTTGCTCAATTAAAATTTAGTTTGTTTTGAAATTTTCAATCCGGATCATAGTGAATCAGGACTGATTGAAGCAGGATTATGCGAGGTATTGCTGTATAACATTTTGACAAAAATTGTAGATGAATATTTAAAGTGATAAAATAACAATTTAAATCTGAAACTGTTATAATAAAGTTGTCTTAAATTCGATATAAACTATAAAATAACTAAAACTTAGAGGCGTCAAATCATTAGAGAATAAAGTAAAATTTAATAAGTGTATAACTCAACAGATAGAAGATGCATACATTAAGATAGTTCTTCTAAATAATCAATTAGGGGGATATACGATGATCAGTTTGTTTTATCACTTCAAACGCGCGAGATATCCGTGAGAAGAATATGTCATTATCTCAATTTAATTTGATAGATTAAAACTAATACCGCATTAGTAAATATATCTCTCTTTGCGTTTCGCTTCAGGATATTTCAATTAATTCTAAAAAAAAATCATCTGATCTGATTTCGGTCGTTATTCAAATTTATTCAAACCTAAATTTGTTCACCTTCCCAAATGGTTCTTAATACATTTCCTACTGTGGGCTGGTATATTTTGTAAAAAACGACGTTTTGAAAGCATTTTAAATCATGTTACATTTATGTGCATTCGCAATTAATCTCAAAACTTATGTAATTTTATATTTACGTCTAAGCTAATTGACTCTTATCAAATGTTAATTTCGTAATTAAACATTAATTGTGAACATTAAATAGCTTTTATGTTGATAATGATATTAGGACACATTACAACAAAAATACATATTTGGAAGTGAGCCATTTCAGATACTTTTTTTTTAAGTACGAAATGAGGTAGTTATTAAAAATATAAACATATAAATTATATTGGAAACTGTTTCAAAATTTAAAGCTAATTAGTTTATATAAGCGGGATTTCCCACGTTTGCTAATATACTTAATTTGTTTAATAAATAATAATTAAATACGAAGTATGCATTTTTTTAAAAGATTTGCGACAAATTTGCAATGTAGATTTACATACGTTTAATTCGAATTACTTTCTATTTATATGAAATATTTATGTAATATATAATAAACGCAGCAAATCAATTTGGTTTTAATTTTCTTATTATGTTATTTTGTTTAGTTTGTTTTTGGTAATTTGTTGCAATAAATGTTATTATACAAACAATTAGTAAGCTTTTATATATTTCATGAATACAATGGAACCTCACTTAACGAGTTTAATCCGTTCCAAAATTTCCGGATTTTTACTCGTATAGTGAAACATAATCAAAAATACACATGATATGTGTACACAAGTTTTGAAAATGATGTACCAAGCGCACAATCCGGAACTTCTCTTCTCATCGTCACTCATTATGCGAAACGTTGCTCGTTATGCGAGTCATTTTTCTTAGAATTCATTTTGCTCCTTAAGCGAAATGCTCGTTATGCGAGGTGTTCGTTAAGCGAGGTTCCATTGTATATAAAATATTATGTACGTAATGATAAAAATGATTTTTTTTTGTAATATGATTGAGTTGAGTTTAACTGTTATTTGTCTATAAAACATTTAATATTTGCTTCAAAGTTATTAATTGAATAATTATAATAAAATTGAAATATAAAAAAAAACTTAATATACAGATAATTTGATGGAGATGTGATTATTTATGTATATATCATTTGTGTTTACAGTATTTGAGTACTAACTACTTTAATTTCAAGATTTTTTTCATAGATTGAATTTTGTAATTTGTAATCTATAATTAATATGTTAATAAACAGATCATTGAAATAGACTCATTATTTTATTATTATATAAATGTATTTATCGTCTTATTTTTATAATACATCATTAAATATGAGTTTTTATTATATGACAAAGATTTAATTATATTAGTTTTATGAATACAATTTTCTGTCTTCATTTTAATATTTAGAAACCAATAAGTAATATGAGATTTATTTTCTTCTATTTTATATTAACCCTTTCCAGCCCATTTTTTGTTTGTTTTATTTAAATCTTTATAAAAGCACTTCTTTAATCATAAACAAACATCTTACCTGTTTTTTTCATTATTCAACATTACCTACTGTTAAAAATACATCTAGCTTCAATTCATATTAGTTGCTTCCAACAGTTTTAATCGTCGAAAGACAAAGTTGAATTTAAAAACTAATGATTCCATTTGGAATCACTGGGTTGGAAAGGGTTAATTTTAAATAGTGTTATTTTCTATATGTTGATTTATTTATTCGTTATATTATTTCTAAAAAAAAATGAACATATTTATTGAGAAAATGAAAAGCTGCGATAATGCACAACAATAGTAATGTCTTAAAGCAAATAAATTATGTTACTCTCTGTATTTGTGTTTATTTTTAAATATATTGTTGCATTTTTTTTATTATTGTGATAATTGATTAACAGACAATTTTTTTTAGTTATTCTTTATTTCGTCATATTTTTTAAGAAAATGTCTTAAATATCAAAATAATCCAATTAATTATTTATTTACATTAGACAGAAACACAATTATAATAATTATTTTATAACAAAAATTAACATTTCCAGTTTATTACATGTTAATGTACTCTTTATTTTCATTTATGATAGTAAAAATATTTTAATTAAGTTAATTATAAGATATTAATTATATTGTCTCTAAGAATAAACTAAATATTTATTGAGAAAATATTTATAAAAAGAGATAAACCAATTAATTATTTTAATCTGTTCGTGGGAAAATCACATATTATAAAACAAAAGAAAAAGTACGCTTTTTCCTATATGTAAGAAGTAAAAAAAAAACGATAAGAAATGAGTTTGTTACTTATTTATTTAGCAAGTGTGCGTGTGTGTTTCTAGGGATATGTCTTATGTGTGTGTGTGTTTGTGAGCTGCTGATGTGAATGGGATTTGGTGAGTATATGTGTGTGGAAGCTGTGTGGCTTACAGAAACCACGCCGAACGGGGATTCAGTTGATCGCATACTTTGCCCGACGTTGGACGCAAAACTTGCAGTAAGTAGTAACTACTACTACACAACCTACCATCATCATCAACAGTCGACGCAACGAAAAACGGGTCCCGCGAAAAGCGCGAATTCCAGGACAACCAAAGACAAGATCTCCAACGGCCCTCCAATAACTTCCGACCATCACTTGCAACCACCGTCGAGGAACAGCGTGTACCTGTGCAGTGCAATAAAGTTAACAAGAACTAGTGACGAACTCTAAGTGATAAAACTAAAGATACACCGCACTTCCAGATATTAAAAAAATAACAGAAATACAAACGAGAAAAAACTAATCAACTAAGTTTAAAGACTATTATGGTAAGTAAAGAAAACTTATTTTTTTTTTTAAATCGCTAATTCTTATCATTCCATATATTTAAATCGCTTGATAAAACAAAATGTTGCTTCGAAACGCCTAATGCACGCAGCGTTTTAATTGTTTTAAATTATGAAATATGTGTATTATGCATTAACCTACATTTTCCTTCCTGAAATTATCTGTTGGTAAAAGAACCGAAAAATAATAAATTAAAAAGAAAAAAAAAAGGAAACGTGAAACGTATAATGAAATTTATCGTATAACGAAATCAAATATTCGAAATTAAACTAATCAATGCGGATTTGTTTACAAAATCACTCGTTGGCCAATAATAAATTCGTTTATAATTACAAATAATTAATTGGACCATTAGCGCTCGCAACTCCTAATGGATACTAATTAGAAATTATCTCAATTCTCCCATTACGTTAATATTGTTCATGCAGAGAGATTAAACTACTTTTTTTTTATAATTTCAAAGATTTCATTAACTCCCAAATTTCTCCTGTAATTAAAAAATGTTATCTAATAAAACGATTATTTTCACCTAAACCTGTGATTTTTTTTTTAAATATTTATTTACGTTGGAGGATTCAAACTTTATTTAGTATTCAAAGATTGCATCGTGTACATATCCCATTCATCCACAATAAATATTAATGCGCTTTATCAAATAATTTATGTTCATTCCGTGTCAAATGTCAGCACAATTTCGTTCGTACATATTATTTTCTTTTATAATTACATATGAAGGCTGGGGGGAATCCCCGAACTGTATCGGTACGTTCAATTGCGATTTGTGCAAATCGGGAACGTGGTGCGTCGCAATTAAGATTCATAATTGAATCCTGACTGGTTTCAGTGAAAAAGTTAATTCAGTATATTTTATGCGGCGATTAAAAATACGATACGTGAGCGTATTTTAAGTACACGTCTGTTGTGTCATGTTTCGTTCGTTTATTCTTTATTATTTTTTTTTAAAGGAAAAACAGGTAATTAGATTTCCACTTTGTGGGGTTCTTTTCATTTTGTATAAGGAAACGTTATTAATAAAGATACGTGTATAAGGAAATGCTGTTGGCGTAGATGATGATTGTTTTTGCTGTCGTCGCGAGATTTCAACACAACACCAATTAGATTTTACAGAAAAATATATATATGTGGTTTTCAGTAAAAGTTTCTTAATAGCGAAAAGAAAATTTCTGACTAATATATATGATAATTATAGTAAAGAATAGTGCGGTTCCGCTATATAAAGTAAAAAAAATGATAATTTTTTTAGAAAAAATATTTTTGTGTATGATTTCAATTAAAATTGCACCATGTGAGGATTTGGTGTGTTTATAAACAAATATAAACATTTTTCTTTTATAAGTTATAATAACTTCTATATAATTTATGATTAAATATTGTGCGATGATTTTTAAAATAATATGTAAAGATTATCAAAGTTTTTTCTAAATTTTAACAAAGTCGATAAGTTTTATTTTCTTTGATTTTACACATGTAAATGAACTTTATCGTTAGTGAATTTTAATGTAATTACATTTCACTATTACTACTTAAAAAATAATATTTTTAATCAAGAGATGTATTTCAAAGTGTTTATGAAGCTAAAATCATTGAATTATATATATTACTTAATAATTTGTTTTTTTATAAATTCTGATGTAATATTTACTTATAATAAGTAATTATAAAACATGTGTTTAATAATGAATTAATCTAACAAAATTTGAATACAAATGAATGATATGCAATTAATTTACATAAATAAATTTGCAACAACAAAGATAATTACATGTAATTTTGTCTATTATTAGTCAGTAATAGAGATAAAATTATTCATTCAATAATAGAAAAAAGACTACTAACCCAAGTATATTAGTTATTTTGTAGTATTATAACTTATAATGCGTAAATCAGTACAAATGCACACATGAATTAAGACTTATTAATTTAACTAACTTTGTTTATTACTAGAGTAGAGCAGTCAAATTAAGTTTCATTTCATTCATATATTAAAGTAGTATCATTGATAGATATTCTTTAAGATCGTGTATTTATTTTATCAAAAAACAGAATTTTGAATTTTAATTGGATTGATGCATAATTATCAGGCATTTTTGTAAATAAAAATTGCTGTTTTGTTTACTTTTTTTAATAAAAATATTATTTGTAAATGAGAAGTTATTGAAGTAGATGGTGACTATGCTCCGGAATAATCATTTAAATATGTTATTGTAGAATTTTTATGATTGTTTTTTCATATTAAATATTGTTTAAAAAACGCCTGGTAATTATGCACCAACCCAATAATAGAAATGAATTTGATACTATTACTAATATCAAGCCTAAATCATGACATTATTTTTATTTTGTCCAATAAAATTTAGTTTGTTTAATAGAAACCGCACTATTCCAGTTATTGTTACTTTTGTATCAAAAAATTGCATTTCATATTTGTATTCGTAAGTCTTTAATAGAATAATTATCATAAATCCAAATTTTTGAGTCTCAAAACTCATGAATTAAACGATTTTAATCAATATTGCGAATAATACAAGGACTGCATTGGATTTTCATAAAATTAAAAAGAATAAAATTTGTTACCGGCATTTTTTTTAATTCGAATTCATAGATAGGATCAGCGCTTTTCTAATTCCACGACGGTATGAAAAACAAACTCAAAATAGAATGTTAATTGCAAATGATGCATAATTGAATGCTTCAATCTTAATCCTGAGGAAATCTTAATTAGTAAAAGATATCATTTCCATTGCGTAAACAACATTCTCGAGGTTGAATATAAAGTGCTAAAGATTCATAGAATCTTGCAGTATATGTGTCTATATTGCGACAAATCAATAATCATCCTCTTTAGTAAACTTTACTTTTTCCTAATGACAAATACCTTTTAATGAAAAGTGTGAAATTTTATTAAATTAATCATTTCAAATATGATTGATGCAAAATCAGAACTTTATAGATTGTGTAATTTTTAGTTGAATACAAATACAATATGTAATAGCATAATTATTTTTGATACTTTATTTATAAATTTGGTTTTATAAAATTCCTCTCTCATATAATATTTATTATAGATTAAAAAAAAAACTATGAATTAAACCTAAATATTTTATCTTTTTTGTAAGTTTTCTTATTGATAATTTATAATGATTATTCAAAATAATTTGGTTAAATTCGAATATAATTATTATGAAGTTTTTATTACCGATTGCAACTTTTGAAAATATTATATAAGAAACATTTTGAATACTTTTCGTAAACAATGATGTTGAAGTTGAAAAGGAGTTACCTTTGTCACTTTTTTTTACTGAATAAAATCTGGTTTAAATGATAAAGGGGAATAGCGTTAAGAATTTATGGTCAAATTTAGTTGAAGTAAAATCAGGTTTCGAAACAATGAACTTATTTGAAAACGAAAAACTTTATGTTCTTATAATCAGAATACGTTAAAACTTGTGATAATATTTTATATGCATTTTTTTATTAATACATGATACCTCGCATAGTACGTCTTTGATCAGTCCAGATCTATTGTAGTCCGGTTTGAAAATATCATATCTAACTAAATTATTATGTATAGAAAAGTCTCTTTTTGTGCGATTATTTTTTCTATGAATTTAATTACTAGATTACTCCGGTTCTGCGATATTGATCGAAAAAATACTTTATAGGAAAAAATAATGGAAAAGAGCAAAGAAATGAGTATTATAATGCAATTATAATACTTTGGAAAGTAAGTGAATTAACTTAATCATTTTTGTATGCAATGTACACTTAATTATGGACAATGAGTGAATCGCAAGGTTGCAATTAATTGCTGGCATTGAAAATGTTCCTAACCTCGATTAACCTTACGAAATAATGAGTATGAAATTCGATATAATAAGTATTTGGATTAATGTATAATTAGAAGCTCTTCGCGGTGCTCATTGCTGCTGGATACGCAAGATTACGCTCTCCATCCTCGTCCCACTCACGTGTAACCGTGCACCTCATTATGTCTGCAAACGCTGCTAACAGAAACGCCCCGAACAACGGAAAATCTCCTTTACTAAAATAACCCAATGCAAAGTTATGACAATCGCACTCATTTTAATAATCCACATTTGTGCCAATTTCGCACCTAAGAAAATATTTAATTTAATTTTAGACTTCCTGTCCAGAAAGAAAATCCTACAACACTTTTGCTTTGAAAACCCAAATGGCGCAATATCTTTTGTAATCGAAATTTACGTCCGTCGGATGGGGGGAAAACCGCATATTATTTATTTATAAAAACACTTCTGATAAACGACTTAATTATATTGCATTTAATTGTAAACAACATATTCAGTTTATGGGAGTCCTCGAATTATCTTGAATTTCATCTCTTTCGTTTTCTGTTTTTGAAAGGCAGATATTTTGAAATTTCCTATGAATTATTATCCTTCAAGTCATTAGCATTAATTTCCATTCGAATCAATTAAATCTAACATTATTATGCGTTCTGTTTATTGCCAAAACGGAATATCGTTTATTCAGATTTACGGCTGCAGACGAATCCTATTATTAACTTGTTGAAATTCCAACAACACTCGAAGTAGGCGAAAAAGCCTTCTCCGGATTCCGCACCGAAATAACAAAACCGAATAACTTTGTGTAATTTTGCATTCTATTGTATACCTTATTCTAAATGCGGACCAATTTTATGCAACAGTTTCTTGCACCAACTGCAAATGCAAGCGATGCTTATACCCGCATTTGCATGCATATTTATCAGAAAACATTATATATTTGTAATAGAAAAAATAAGGATGTTTCAAAATCAATCTTTGAATAGTAAATGCAACGATGATTATTCTAAATGCACGAATGTTAATAAGAAAAAAAAATATTAGAAAAAGGATGTTTCATAATTTATGGTACGCTTGACATTGGATAATTGATCAACGCTTGTGTCAATCATTTGAACGTCATTGAGAATACATTCTTTGAAATGCAAGATATTCGGTGACTCATCTTCAGTATACAGTATATATAATATGACATCCACTAAATACGACCTAAATACATGGGAAGAAACTTTTCACTACTTTATAATAATTAAGCAATTATTTGTTGCAACTATGCAGTTCAAGCGCATTCTCATGCTATTTATGTTATTACATCATTTCAGTAATAAATTAATTCAAAAGAAGTTTTTCTTTCTGAAATATATTAAAAAGTTACAATTAAAAATACTTCATTATTATATTTAGAACTGAACATTTAGATTACTCCAATCCATTCAATACATCAAGATTATGGGAATTAATAAGTTTAATTATAATTCACTATAGTTATTATTTTATAAATTTAAAATTTAATTTAAAAAGTTAATATTTATTTTAAATTTTTAATAAATATTAATTATTATACATATATAGTTTTAATTTATTACTTCTCACACCTTTTAGACAAATTAATGAAAAATAGTTGAAGAATTTTCATAAGGATTAATGAAGATATCTTAATTTTGTTACAGTAAAAATATAGCGTCATTAAATCGTGACGAATGTAATTTTATGTATGTTAGATATTTAAATTATTTTAATTCCTTCCAAGAATCGACTTTCATAAGTAAATTATAAAATCAGACAAAGATTCAGGTTAAACTTTTGATTTATATCAATATATTAGAATTAATGTTGATATTGAACATAATTGTAATAGCATCAATAATGAGATTTAATTATATTGATATTTAGGATATTTCAGTAATTATGATTACTTGAGTTTAAATATTAATAATTACTAATTATTAAAGGAATGATAAATACTTATTTATAATACTCTTTGAATAAACTAGTTATCAATCTTACGAGGATTCAATGGGAGAGAATTATAATCTTCTTTGGAATTTATACAGTATACAAGAAATAAAAATGTAAGGATTTACTGTGAATCAAGGAAATATTAAACTTAATCATTTCACGATCTTTTCATTTTCATTCTAGTTTAAGTAATTTTTAATAGAATACTTTAGAATTAAGTTAATTTTATAAAATAGTGGCAAATCGGAGGATGTTTCTGCAATATATACATAGAGCGGAAGAACCTCGTAATTGAGGTTATCAGATGATCCTTCTTAACAAATATATAACAAATAGATAGATGGAAACTAAACAATTTGTAATTATCAAATTAATCGATGACGACAGGAATAATGTTTTATATGAACACATGAGTATGACTACAATCAATTAAATAAGATAATTTGGTGAATTATTCACTTATTTTCCTACATTTATACGATTGTAGTGTTCTAAATGTTGGAAAATAGTCATTTTAATAATTTAATCATATTTAAGTGTGAAAAAAATGATTTTTTTACGTGATAATCGAAGATAAATAAAAAAAATGAACTCGATATTGAACTCCGTAAATGATGCAATCTAAATGTCTCACTTGTCTAAAACTTTGTGAAAGGATAACTTACTATAAAGTTTCAATTAAATAATTGAATACCTAGTTTAGGTATTTTCTGGCGTATTTTCAAATTTTGCGATTATCGCAACTGCAAATTGATAATACAAGAGTTTAGAAAATAATTATGTCAACATTGAACTAACTGCATTGTGCTAGTTTCAAAAATGAAAATGTTCAAGAATCTTCTAGAATTATTTGTATTGAAATGTTAAATGAAAATAAATAATTTTTAAAAGGTTTTTTTTTTTTGAAATTGTGAATTATAACATGTTACATTTGGATACTTAAAATTAATTAATTCAGTGGTCATTCCTCAGATTTAATACCAAAAAAGAACAAAATAACCTTTGAAATTTATTCAGAATATACTAAATGACGTTATTATTTCAACTTTGAAGGAATTAAACGGTTTTGAAAAGCATTGAACTAAATTTATTAACTTCTAAAATAAATGATTTTCTTAGAAAAAAAAATTTTTCTTCCGTTCATTTCTTTATTGAAATGTTAGACAAGTTGACTAATTTAAAAAAAATATTTTGTCAATTAAACAATTGTAAACTGTACATATAAAAAGAAAGAAATCAGTTGGAAGAATGTGATAATTTCTCGGATTTAATATCAACAAAGTACGGTATAACCTTTGAAAATCCATTAGCCGTTTCTTGCTTGCGTTTTTACGCTCGTAAATCGAACACCGTCGGCATTAATCTTACGAGCTTAAGCGCTAATCCCGCATGTAAAACGAACGTCTCTTAAAATATTCCAGATAATTATTATACAGTCGCTTTCCACGTGCGAAATAAATGCAAGACATTTAAATGCATCCCAATATACGGTTTCGATAATAACTACACAACAGCAAAAAGAAGGAAAAAAATAATGTATAATTTCGATTTTCAAGACGTGTTTTATTTTAATGGACATCGGCTTTTAATTGCATGCTCATCGAATGCATGGAAATGAAAAGAAATCAATATTTATTGGATGTAGATCTAATGTAAGTTATGATGATGTTTGTTGTTTTTCTTCGACGTTTTGTAGCTTGATTTGGTGTTATGGTTCTATTGTTTTGAAGCGCATACCTTGCTTGTGTCAGGATAAATAGGTGCAAAACGTTACGCAAGAACAATGTCAAGGTGCGGGACAAATGGTTGCATGAAACGCTGGGTGTTGTTAATTATACGAGTGCGATTGTAGTAAAAAAAGGAAGGCAATAAGCAATCGAGCTGTAGACACACCAAATACCGATAGCATTACATAGGTTTCTATAATTATCTTGATGTTTGTATACTTTGCCAGCAAACGTACAACACACGTACACACATGGATCTACTTTCAACAACGGTCTCGGCGTTGTTAGGTGGCCGGTTTAGGCTTAAGACAAGTCATAACGAATAGCTGCTAGAAGTTTGAATGGTATTGAGTTGTTTGGCAAGCTGAAAACGTGCAATTAATGATGTTTACTGCACCGTTTCATCGGCATGAAAACCGGCTACTTACTACTCCCGACTCCATAAATCCCGATCTCGTTAATGCCTCCAGACGACGCACAACTGCACACACATACTGGAGTCCTCTTCCATCCACAAAACAAAGTAAATAAATACCAAATCCAAACCGGAAACCATCTCCAATTGATCCCAAACAACGCCAGTCTCTTCCGTTCCATCAATCAGACTTTGAACTTGAAACCAATCGAGACTACTTCAATCACACCACTCATGATATGAACTGATATTTTCGTATTTACAGACAACTTAATTTTAAAACGTACTAAACAAAAATAACATCTTCATCATCTTTAATATGTTTCTTTTCTTCGCTTCCCAATTCCGACAAACGTCAAAAATAAACAAAAGGAAGGATTGTGTTTATTATTTCCTTTGCCTTCCTGCGTTTACGTAATCGAAAATAACGTTTCTAATTCTTTCTGTTTTTGTTCTTTCTTTCTAGTGGTGAATGCGTAGCAAATGAATTCAGGAAGATGTGGTGGACAAAGTGTGGTTTATTGGGATTAGTGCTTTTGGTGCACGTCGTGTGGAGTGCGCAAACCTCCGGTTATCTGAACCGCCAGAGAACGAATGTGCTAAAGGGATTGAGAGGATCTAGATTTGATGTGCCTTCGGTTAGGTTGAGGCATCACGGTTCCTCATCGCGTTATCCTCATTTGGATGGTGTGTTAAGTAAAGTGAACAAATTGGCCAACTCGAGGACCGCGACGACAACTTCCGCTCCATTGAGGACATCGAAGAACCGGAAACCAGTCGGAAGGAACAACGATGATCTGTACGAGACTTACGATGATTTTGAGTATATGGATAGGAACGGAGATGAGCTAGACAAGGATGATGATGACTTCATGCATTCGGAGAGCGAGGTTCGTAATTTTGATCTTATCAGACTTACCTATTTAACTCTTATACTTAAATATAAATGTAAACAAAATTGTATCTTTATTTAGTCACAAATTTGATAGACTATTGATTAAGTAACTTTCATTCTTGAAGGTTTTGTAAATTAAGTTTTGAGTTCATTAAATATTTGAAAATGTATAATTCAACATAGAACAAAATAGTTCCATTATCTCTCAAACATTACAAGAGCCGACTGTAAAATAGATTGAACTGATTATAATGTTATTTGTACAACTCAATTGGATTGATTTTATTGCAGCGATTTTAAATTGTACTTGTATGGTGTAGAAGAAGCTCAGAACTCGTTGAAACAGATACAATAAATTCAGTACAGCAAACAGTAACATCAATAAAACCAGAACAGTAATAATTGCAAACATCAATAACATAAAACGAGAGAATGTTGATACATATAATCTTGAGTTTGCGACACTTCCATTAAAACGTAATAATAGTTAGATTGAAAACATATTAACGTATATCTCGAGTTTTGGATACGTTTTTAACAAAAAATATAAAAAATTACTATTATAATATTAATATTGTTACTGAAAAGGTGAATATTTTTCGGTTCGCAGTCAGTTTTGGCTTGAGAAATACACTTACAGAATATAATTAAAGGTTGTATTCATTTTAAATGGTAAAAGCATCATAATAGTAGTATTTTTTAAGTTATGATTTTTTACGCGTAGTATTTATGTGTGCAATAAAGTTTTTTTTTGTAAATTTACAATTAGAAGAGAATAAATGTTAAAGTTATCATTAAGAAGTTCTACAAATATACAATTAATATTGACTGACAAATATTGTGAAAATGTCTAAAACTGACAATGAAATGACAATGTTTAATTTGAAAGTACGAACCGGAGTAAATTACCTCAAATGGGGTAAAAATTAATTCTTAGGATGTAATGACGACGTTCACCAATAAAATTCGATGTATCCATGAAAAATATTAGAATTTCCATCTCCAGGTTATAATGGGGTAAATTAATAATAATTAATATATTAATATAAAGTTTTGTCTAAGGATAAAGAAATCTATACGATAAAACCTAAAATTATAAATTCGCCTATAAGTTAATAATATGATTAATGGTACGTGTTAAAGATCAATGTTATAATTCAGTTTTCCGACGATGATCACTATAATGCAGCATCCCGAGGTGCTTTTAATCATGTAACCGTCCACGGAGCTTTTATCGTGCCGTACATTTTGCCATTGGCGTGGGTGGCACACACGGAACAAAAGGCTGAGAAGGCAGAAAACGCAACGAAACCTGTTTTTCCAAGTTATTAACGTGAAAAACGATGCACTTGCGAAATATTAATGCGAATGTTTTGGCTCGATGCACGCATTCCTCGTGCGAAAAGAAATCGACAATTCCAATGGCAAAAGTAAAACATGAATATCAACAACTAAATTAAAAAAAAAAAATAATAAAATAAAAAAAAAGCGAAGTGAAGGAGGAGGAACGTTACAGTAATTGTTTCTGAATTTTGTGCGGCGATAAGGCGGTTTACCGTGACCTGAAAAGACCTAAAACCAGTGACGACTGCTTATCAATCTTCAGAAGCGACGAAAATCGAAGCACACGATAAATGTGCGAGACATGTGTCTCAGAGGAGGAGACGGCTTTCGCAAGAATTTTTTTTTAAAACCCGCCGTTGCATCACTCGACACAATTCAGTTCCTGTTATGTATTTATCTTCGTTTATGTATGAATGTGTATATATTTTTTTTTAGAACGCGTAGGATGTACTCCACGATTAACGGTAAATTATTGAATCGGGAATAATTAGAGGATGCGATTGACATGTCAGACACGACGAGATCACTATTTGTCAATCGTAGATTTTAATTGGTTCTGATGTAGAAGCCGTTCAATTTCTTATTTCTTCATTCCATCGGCAGTGTTGTTATTAGGGGTTTTCCCCGTTGTTTTATGCAAAGTTAACAAAAGCTCTTTGTTGTTTGGCGCGAGACCACCGTGAAGAAGCGCGAAACCCGGGCACGTCAGGTCGATGCAAGCCCATGTGATTCATTCGAGGCTACACCTTTTGCATTCCTTCAGTTTTATGCAGACAATTTACATCATACAATTATTTTTTTTTGTCGTTTCGGCGTTCGAACCCAAAGCTCAATTAACCCAACCACTTTTAGACGTGACATCATCGTAATTGTCACAATTGAGTCTCGTTTGCATACGCCTGTCACATGCATATCATCTGCAAGAGATTACGTTAATGTCATCCATCTAATCATTTATCATGGGAAAAACTAAACTAGTATTTCAATTCCCTTTTCGGCGATCTTTTCACTTCACAAACACAAACAAAAGTCGCTTCCCTCTGTTCGTTTTATGCCCAAGTTTGTTGTTCCATCATTTGCTTTATTACACTGTTTGGGAATTCCGTTTATTTTTTATCGTTTCTCCTTGCGCGTTCCCGAATGGAATACCAAATGGGCCGAATCAAACTACTTTTGTAACTGTATTTGCTTTCATCTCCTTCCAAATTAGGCCTGCAATAACACATCCTCTTCTACAGCTAAAATAAATATGATTAAAAAAGAAACTTTCTGTATTTTTTGAACACTATAATTTGTCTATTTTTTTTTTATTTAATTAAACACAAACTTTGACACAATAGACGAACCTACTTCGATTCAATTTGCATACAATAAATTCCGAGTAAATTAGCTTTCCTTTTTAATGATATAACAGATTTACATCTAAGTAAACCGCGCACATCGATTATCATTAAATAAACGCATTTATTTCTCGTTTGGCCTTAAAAGAAAATATATCTGTTTATTGCCATGTTCCAATTTCAGCCTAAGAAATTGCAGTTTTTATTTCTTCTCAATCCAAAGAATTATTGCTGAAATATCGCATCGAGAATTTCCCATTGACAGATTTTTTTCTCTCTCTCTTTCGATATATTTCTCAACGGTACTTTCTTTTCTATATTTATTATATTAAATACGAAATAAATCAATTCGTTTAGAACGGTTTTGTAATTTTTTTTAAACATTATTGCGTAGAAATGAACACACTTTTTATGTAATTATCTTACTAATTTATGTACGTTTCCAGAATGATAATTAAGGATTCTATAATTTGTGATTATTTGAGTATTACTTAACCGATAAGCAAGCATTATGAGTGCGTTATTAACGTCCCGATAATCGTAAATTTTTCTTCAATCTTATCAGATAAATTATGGTCAAATTAATTGAATATTTACCTTTATACCTTTATGTGTTTAACTTTAAATTAATAACAATAATTACAGTCAGTTGCAATTATTCATGGGTTTTTCTTAATTCATACATTTTTTTCTGTTATTATTTATATAATTTTTACAATAATTATTAATCATAAAGATTTTCATCGAAATGAAACAATGATATTAAATATGAAATTTTTCATAGTTTCAAATATTTAGCAATGAATATATTATTAATATTAACATATTCTATAATGATTAACATTTCCAAAATACAAATTTCAAAGTCAATATTTATTTCATTGTAAAAATGGTATTACTATAAAATGCTTTTTATAATTTAAAAGTTTCGAAATTTCTACAATTTATTATAACTTGCTTAACCTTTGTTCAGATTTGATTATATAATTTTCTTCAATTCGATTATTAATTTTGCTCAGCTACTAAATTTACATCATTGTGAAAGTGTTGATATTGTGGAAAGAAAATGATGAGACTTTATCATAATGTTAAATTCGTCTATTAAATTTAAATGTCTATAAATTACATTTTGTTGTGTATACAAATTATTATTGTTGCAAAAATGTATTTCTAGAAAATGCAAAAACACACTGGCAACAGATCAAAGAAAGCTTAGTATTTTGGATATTTGTCAAATTTACAAAAAAAAATGAAAAACTGCACAGATAACTTCTTCAAACTAATCTAATGATGCACGTGTCTAGACTATATGGAGACATTAACCATTAAATAAATATGATAAATGAAGCACCTTTTGCAGACTCAAAACTTAAGTGTATTAAGCTTGTTTTTCATAATATGTTGAAAGATTTTACGACATTCCTTTTTATATACCGTATAGTTTGCATTGCATCTGTTACATGAGACATTTGTAACTCTATGTATTAATTATATTTAATATTTGATAGTTAATTAATTTAGAGAGTTTAGATATTTTATTTAAACTAATTAATAATTTATAAACTAAAAATTTTAAGCTATTTTCTTAATATCACTTATTCAAAGTCAAAGTCTTTTAATTGTTGTTTATTTAGAAATAATTAATTTTATTTAAATATATTTATAATTCTTGTTACAAATTGAAACGAGAGTTGCGTTATTTTTATTGTTAAATAGTAATAAATTATTACGACTAGACAAGTGAAAGCAATCTATAAATAAAACGGAATACACAACGCGTATGACACACGAATGTGGATCACCATATCCATATTAAAACGGTGTACAATTCTTCCTATAAAATATTAAGTTCGTGAATATTAAAATAATAAATAAAACAGATATTGCTATCCCCCAACTTACGAACTCCAGGACTTAAGAACAAAATTCTAAAATCTCTAACTTGTTACAAGGAGATAATATTTTTGGAAGATCTATTATCTGTTTTTTTGCATGGTTGTCGTTCCTTTTGTCGTTTTTTATTAAATAATTATGTGATTGTGATCTATTCTGAAAAGTATTTGTAAGTAAGTACGAGGGGTCTAACAAAAGTTCGTTAAGTTGGCATTAATTAATTTGCTTCTGAAAAATCAAAAGGTGTTTCTTAATTTGTTAAAGTCTAACGATATTTCATGTAAAATTTCAAGAAGATCGGTAAGAATGGATAGGAGAAAATGCAAGATTAGTGAAGGTTAGTAGAAATTCCACCACCAACACAGCAAAAATTTGTTTTGTCATTCTCTACGGATTTCGATATCAACTCAAGTCTATG